TGTATAAAGGTATTTTTTAAACAAAATTTCTGACATAATATTAAGTGAATTACTTGCAGAATATGTCTGTTTTTGCTCAGTTTTGCAAATAGTTCCTAATAAAGCCACAGCAAAACCACTGAATGAATTATTGACTGACTCATGATATGCTGCCACACACTGGTGGTTTTAGTTTCATATTTCATTTCATTTTTTCCCATCATTTCAAATTTTTTATTTACAAAATGTGTCACATCTGCATTGCAAAGATGTTGATTTTGCTTTCAGTGATTTGTAAGAGCCTATGCACTGCACTTGTTAAGTCATGACATATATTCAATACTGTATCTAAGTCCAAGCCTCTACTCTGTTTCAAAAAAGAATACCATCTCAACAGCCATTTTATTTATTTATGAAACCATTTATTTAGCACTATTCATTTATAGCACACTCATTTATATCACAAACAATTCACATTGACTTCAGGTGACTTAAATTTAGATTTAACCTTGAATAACCCTTTAAATCAGGATTGTTTGTCATGTTATAAATATTAACTGACAGCCTATAATCTCAGAAGTTCATGTTTTAACATGTTTTCAGAAGCCTGGTGTTGGGGTTTATCAACGAAACAACCTATATTTTGTTACTGTAGTGTCATATTTTGTGCCTAAATTCTCCATGTTTTCTATGTATCTAATCTAGATTATTTAATCAGGTTGTGCTTACTTTTAAAACCAGATTATGCCCTTAGACATCAATCGTAGCGTTAGTTCTGGCAGGTCACGTTAGTCAAGCTCGCATCAGCTGACCTTCAGCTGATCTCCATCTACCTATGGGAATACGACACCTATCTAAGCATTCATGTATAAGGTCCCTCAGTATTATCAGCAGTTTTCGCATTGCTCAATAGCTAATTACCCTCCTCCATCCCCAACGATTCAGCCTTCTGATTCTTCTTTGAATCAGACTAATTCTAAAATGTGTACATAAAATTATTGAACTTTAACAATATCTGCAATACATTTATGTTAGTTCTGTTCTGTTTACCCTGGTGGGGTTATCGCTGCTCTCCCTGCTTTCATCCATGCTAGGCTGCATGGATGCGCAGGGAGTTCTTGCCCAGAACAGAACCATACCACCAATCCAAACTGTATGCTAATTGTCAATAATCTTTGACGATAGTGGTCCTGACAGAATTAGTCTTAGGCCCTTAGTCTTAAAAAAATCAGAGGAAACACAAATATTGCCTCATTATCCATGGGTCACATTGTTAAAGAGAGATTGAATCAAGTGAAGAGGGAGTCAGTGTGTGTGTGTGTGGTGTGTTTGTGTTAGACAGTGAATGGGAAGTGCTGCTGTGTCTGTATGTGTGCAGTGAATGGGCAGAGCTGTGTTGCTGTGCCTGTGTTGTACAGTTCGTACGGTAACTGAGGAAACATCCAGAGCAGTCTGTCCGGCCTCGCTGCCTGACAGCCACAGCCCAAAGTCAACGATTCATCCGATGGCGTTTGAGAAACGAAGAGCAATTCCTCTCGTAAGCGGTTTGGTCGGCGGCAGCGATTCCAAGCCGTGTTTTCTTGATCCGAAAATGAAGTTTAGCTCCAGCTTTCCTCTGTCTCCAGCCACAGCCGATGCATTTCTTCTGTCGCTTCCCCATATCGGCCGAGCCGATGCAGCACTTCCCTGTGATGCGGTAAGAGCAGCCGCAGCCTCTATTTACTTACTGGTTTATGAGGACATTAAGTGGCTGTTATTTAGTATTAAGACGACACTTCAAGTGTCATTTCTCAAGGAGACATCCGCGGTTACATAATAGCCTGTGTAGTGAGGCAGAACACACTTTATTTCATTCAGAAAACGCGGCTACACCACGGTTAAGAGCCAATCGATGCTGCTGTATGTTAACAGAAATACATCTCGTTTTACATGGCAGATACATAAGCTACTGCTGTAGTGTTTTCTGTGACTGCAAACGGGATAGGCAATATCATCCTTCAGAATCATTCGAGTGCCCAAAAAATAATAGGCTAATAATAATAATTTGTGTCAGTGGTTTTAGTTAATTTGTCCATTATACATAGCCTACACATAACCTGCTTTTTAACTGAATTATGTAAAATATATTTTAATTGGTAAAAAAAAATATTAGGCTACTTTATTTGAGTCAATTTAAATATTTCGTTTTATTTTTTTTTATATTACATTATTTTAGTACATTTACCTATTTTATTTTTAAGATATTTTAATAATATCTAATAATTATAGCCTAAATAATACATTATAAAATTAAATGATTAAATAAATAAATGGTTTAAGTGACCACCCTTTGGAAGTTTGACCTTACTATCTTTACTAGCAAATATCGTAAATCATTAGGTAACACTGTGGTAGCTATATGTCTCTTGAAAGGCGTAACGCTTCAGATTGTGCTCTAGTTTTGAGTGAGATGGATAGTTTTCATCAGTCATCGGACGGAGTTTAAGAAGATGCTCCTTAATTTGACGCTTTTACACATTTAGGACTAGAATATTAGTGGAATAACACTGCATTAATATGAGAAGGTCGTGGCACAGTAATAGAGGAAGAGTAAATTCCGTTTCCTTGGAAACCAAAGACTGTGGTGCTATACGAGCAACCTCCATTGTCAAGACACGAGGTAATAATACACCAGTATCCGTTACATAACTTAATATTAGTCGTATTCAATTGAATACTTCTTAATGTAGGCTCTTTCCGATCGACATAATCTAGAGCTGAGAATGCTTATGTCTGCACTATTATGTAGGCTACGGTGATTGCGATGGTGTAGGCCTATTTACAGAATTGAAGGTGAAGTAACGTTAGTGGATTTTTGATAATGCGCTCGTGATTGAATCAATATTTCTGTCACGTGAGTGTGTATCAACTTGATAATTTTATCAGTTAATACTAAGTGACGGAACTGGTGATGGACTAATGCATCCATATTGATTAAATATGGCATATACCTACGTTTATGACCATTAGCTATCTGATTATGTGTGGGGCTTAAGCATCAAAACAATAAAAGTTTAATCCTGCTTAATTTTTTTTCTTTATTTTTGCCACCAAGAAGTTTTTAATCATTTAAATAAAATTTAGTATGATCACTTTTTCTTTTATATATTTTAATAAGTACAGGTCAGAGAAGCCTAAGTATGTTGTTAATTTTGACATAAATATATATGTTATGATGAATGACGATGGAACATTATTTCACTCATATTTTGATTATTTCCTCATATATATATATA